AAAAAATGGTGGTGATATGTAAACCGTGATGTTGAGTGTTTTACCTAGAAACGATTTGCACTCGTGATGATATTTCAAATCTATATTCAAGTATAGTTTCAGCAAACCGGACAAAAATTGTTTGAAAGGGTTCAAATTCATATTGAGTAATAGAATGAACGTCCGCAACTCAGTAAATAAACGATTCGTTTGAAGTGAAAATTTTGTAAATTCAATCTATTGAGCTTTTGCATTCTAATATATCCTGTCAAATACAGTACGTAAGTCTCAAGAAGTAAAGATAGAACATCCTCCAGTAAGTTTCTAAGATTTCTACTAAATTACCTCGTAGAAGTGCATAATCAGTGGGTATTTCATTCCGTTGCCCTGGCCAGCGAATTATATTTCCTGTAGTCACCCATGCAGTTGTACTGTTGTAAGTATTATACTGTAACGAACCATTCAATTGTAAAACTTCTACAATTTGAAATTTGTTAGTGCTCATTCTTGATGGTTGTATATTATCGATGACATAATAAACACCTGTGTCATCAATACGATCAGTTGTATTCGAGTGGAATTGCACTCTTCCTGTAAGGCCAATAAAAGTTATTGTTTGAAGAATTTTATGAAAGTCTTCTTGTGCAGTTAAACGAGCTTTGAAACAATTGGAAGTGTTCTCAAATGAAAGGCAATTAGTAGAATTCCTTTGACAAAGTTGTTGCAATGCCAATATAAGTAACCACGCAGCATCAAATGCGTAGAGAGCAAAGATATCGACTTTTGAACTACTTTCTTGAAACGAATGAGGGTCGATTTCTTCCCAGATATTAAGAGATTCATTTAGTAAATTTGTTTCTGTCAATTGATTAAAAGCTTGTGGTGATACTTGCCTTAACATGAGCATTCCTACTAGTTGATTTACATTTTGATCATTAGGAATATCCGCTAATGAATTACTTGCTGTCAATATCCAGAGAAAAGATGGAGCCATAACTTCACCTACTTCTAGTGATTGACGTATAATTTTTGTTGTTACATTTCCAGCAGCCATGACGATCACAATACGCGATGGACTCTCTTCTAGTTGACGTTTAAGATTGTCAATGCGCTCTGTAAATAAATCGAATCTGATCGAACGTGAGATTTTAACTTCATTACCAAATGCTTCATCTAAAGCATGAAGTCCACCTTGGCCATAACTGTCACCTTGATAAATAATATTTGTTGAATTCCAAAGATATTGTTTAAATAATTTCAAAAGTGCCTGTGCTATGAAAACATCAGACGCTGATAACCGATAGAAGGTTTTATATGAGTTGCGATCTGAGAGTTCCGGTTCTGTTGTAGAATAGCCTATTACCGCCAATCCTGCTCGATTACCAAAACTGGCTAGTGTTTTTGCTTCGCTCGAATACTCAGGTCCAACAATGCCGAGTATTTTATATTCCTGGATAGCACGACATGTAAGATCAAGTGCTTCGATTACATTACGACCACTTGTAGACTCGACATGATAGGCAATCCGCTTTCCATTTATAGTAATATTTAACTTTTGTGATAATAGGACTGCAGCTTGAAACATCACAGGTTCTACCGATCTTTGAAAATGTTTTTCAGTTCCAGTTGTAAACCGTTGCTCTAAAAATAAACCCAAGAGATAAACATAGGAGTTATTGTCATTTGGGAACGAAGGCCATAGTGATGTTGCAGAACGGTGGTTCTGATTTAACCATTGTGACTTTAATTTTTTATGGTTTCCTGTAGATGAATTATAGCTTTGTAAAGTCAGTAACATAAAAAATACTGCTGTTAAGTATATTATACTTGACATTTTAAAAATGACGTCCATATTACTTATTTTTATTCGTTTTAAATACTCACGTGGAAAAAAATGAGTTGCTCTCAGACGGAGTAATTTACTGTTTGTTAATACTAGTGATAATAACTGTATGAACACTTTTATTACTTTCAGATGTTGTTCGGGACGTCTATTTATATTTACTTTCAATCTAATTTACGAGTCAAATAAATGATCGATATACTTAAATGCATTTACTTTTAAACATAAATTATATCAGAAAATAATCATATTTATTTCAAATAAATAGGCAACTGACATAGCCAGATGTTATGACTTTGTAAAAAGAATAAAGTAATATGGCTGCCGTTGTTCAGAAACGTTTTTGATTTTAAAAGATCAATGGAAGACATTAGATGGAGCAAAAACAAAGATTTAATTTTTTCATACGTAAAATTTCTTATCATATTTTTTATGTGAGCTGTATCGATAAGGTCCATTGACAAAAGAATTCAAATGTTGTAGAAATTTCATTAAAAGACGGTATTTATCTTTTCCTTCAGAATAAAATCTATTGAGCATGTGGCTATGCTGGTGATTATTTCTTGCTTATTCAACTCATTCAATTCCACACTTATAACCTTTAGACATCGACATTTATTTCAACATAAAATATCAGCGCTACTGATCCCCTATTATATTTAAACTATAAATCAGCATTGATTTCTCGTCGCCGAACATTGGCAATCAATATCTAAAATTTTATATTGCGTTGTTTTTCTTAAATAACTCTTTCTTTGGTCACTTTCATTGAAATAATTGGATGTTATCTTGCAACCATTCTTCGAATGTGCGCAGAGGTCGATTAAGAATAACTGCTAATTGAAGAGTAGCTTTTTTACCTTCACCATTGAAAGCAAGTTTTATGAGATCGTAGACTAACGAATGATTCATGGCGCTGCTAATATTCGTTTTGTAAAAGTCTTCTATCGTTTGCTGTTCGTACATAATAGATGTTCCAAGAACTTTGCTGAAGATTTCAGCACGTCGTTCGTTACTGAAAACTTTTGCACCCACTTCATAAATACAACGATCATGCTTTTCTACTGGTTCACTTAAGACAACAACAGCACATTCAGAAATATCTGTGGATAAAAATAAAATTAGAATTATTTTCACAAAACTGACTTTGCTACATACAAATTCTGTATTTTATAATTCATGTTATCAAATATAAAACTTACTCGGAAACTATAATTGACAAATTGAACATCTTTCTACTGAAGAATCCCACTGTTACTTTTTTATCCTTTTCGTTTTTAATATAAAATATCTGCACAGTTAAAAATGATTTGATCATTGCTTTTACCAATTCTATCGATTCATGTTGTTGTTGCTAAAGGTGGTTTACATGCACAACGTCATTCATAAAATAATTACTGATGAACGCTCCTGGGCTGAGTATCACAAGTGAGCGTTCATCTGAATTGTTTTCTGCTAGCGCCAATATGTTGTCTTCGCTCATTGTATGCATATGTCCGATAATACCTTGAATACCATCGACGCGAACATTACATGAAGGCAGGTCGACAGTTTATTTTACACATCTTTCGCATGCGATCTTGTTAAATATTTCTTTGATTTTACTCATTGATACTGGCTTGTTAACATCGCCACTAACGAGAATAAAGAGGCGATCATGGCCTTCAATCGCCCGAGCATATATGCCAATAGATGTGTAGGTACCAACAGCAATAGAGAGAAGATCAGTTGCTAGCTCGTCTTTACACAATTCCCTGTCTTTTTTTCATTTTGTACGCATGCAGGTGTTTCGACTCCTTTCCTAACCAAACCACGAATTACACCACTTCCAACGTTTCCACTTGCTCCGACAACGAACACCCTATTCTTGTCTGACAGCATCTTATCGACAATGAAAAACAGAAAGAAGCAGCCGTGACCTCACTTTTTTCTGCTAGTTTTCAATGATAACCTGTACACCATTCTTAGCGGTGAATGTATGCAATGATAGAATATGGGAGTAAACCAAAACATCCATCCAACAACAGCCAGTATCTGCACAATCTCTGCGTGCATTTGATAGCATATTGTTAAAGTCTCATTGCGTAAACTATCTTGCAACTAACTCTGAATAACACAATCCCTGCAGGGTAAAAAAAATGTAAAATACGATGTAACAATTGTTGCTAATGCTCTAATAATTGATCTTTTTTCATGAATATTGAGGTATATTCCTGTTGCATGACTTACTTTGTAGTCTAGAACTTCAAAAAAGAGATAGCTTAAATATATATTTCAGTCAGATGTTGCATTTACATGCTCTTCGATAGCCGCTTGAAATTGTCTGCCACGGTTTGTGACAAAAAATGAAGTAATTAATTATGGATTAGATGGTCATCAGTGAATTAATAATTTAACTAATTAAAACCTCTATCATAGTCTGTGAGAGTGGGTGCAAATCTCTGACTTATATACTTCAATACTCCTTGTAGATTGTGTTTCATAAAAGGAAATTTATGTTGACTATGGAAAATATATTATATTCAAGCCGCAAATCCTCCATTTTCCGATTCTTCTGCGTTGTTTGATATCTAGTAAAGAATGACCGAACCCGAACATTTGGGTACGATACATGCTTACATAGTCATATACCCTTACGATCGTAAACCCTTCGGTCAATCAATCCTTCAAGACGTTTTGAAAAAAAATGAGAGCAATAGTTAATTATTCTGCAATTTCTTCACAGTAGAGAAATGGGTGTGTATATATTTCATTTGTTTACTCATTCTCACTGTTTCAACAATATAATAGCAACTGCATTCTTATTGATGTAGAAATGCAGAAAGAAATTTGCTTTTAGCTACATACAATTTGTACTTCAAAAAGGGGTGTTGTTAGCAATTCTAAATGTTTCATTGCATTAGTAAATGTTGTAATGCACGCGAAAGCGAACATGAAAGACAACAAACAATACGTGGGCGAGCGAGTTCTGATTGTTTTTGTTTCACTTCATCATATTCTTGGACGAAATCAGGTAGGAACAAATTGAGTGACTGAATGTCGTCAATAAGAATTCTTGCACAATTAAACTCAAATAGAAATTGAATATGAAATTTCTCTAACGAACTATTGAACAGATTTTCTTCTTGTTTGGTTCCGATATATTGATTGCCAAGACATCTAAAAAGTGCCAAAATATTGCGAGTTCATCAGTTATCCGTTGGAAACGTTAAACCGATCCGATTGCAGGTACTATATTGAATCAGTCAACAGTTTTCACGAAAAAATGACTGTAGACATTTAATTCACAGGTTCTTGATGAATTTTTCTTTTTACCGACGATGTACTTGGCTGACTTCAATATCGCCATATGGGTTCGTATCCGAATACGAACTTGGATCAAATATCGTCTGTTGTAGTTAGATCATATCAAAAGTATCGAGAAGCTCGAGAAAAAAATGAAGAAATATGATTTTACATTTTATTTCATTTCACGCTGAAAATAGTTGACCTACTTATTTACATACAACTTGTTTCGTTCTATCTTGTTCTCGAAAGATTTTTACAGTCATCGTTGTTGATGAAGCTCATAATCTTGGTTACTGCGACATGCAAGAACGGTGAGCTGGTTTGATCACTTGCTATGCCAATCATACTCGACCGTTGCAGTAGTAGCGTCACCAAAAATCTAAAGATGGTGGTGCTCTGTTTCCTCTTCCTTCTTCTTCAAATCCGTGCTTAAACTCTTCCAGAAAGTCTTCATTTTGTATGTAGGCCAAATTGACATTCCCTAGACTGAAAGGATAGGGTCTTAATATAGAAATTAACCTGTATCTGTCTGGCTGTCAGTAGCATGATTTGGAACGGCTTTGCTGCAGTTCAAAGTCTTTTGATTCATGAACGAAAGTGGAACTAATAAGGGTATTTGTGGATTTGAACAGTTCTGATAATGCTGCTGATAAGATATTGAACTTTAATAATCTGTGCATAGATGAGTTACGCATAAGCTACTGCATCAGTATATACATCACTATTTGAATCAACCGTAGACAAGAAAATCGGAGTTTCTGTAAATGTGAATGAGGAATTAACCTTTTGATTCTGGAAACCATCAGCGTTTCTTATTCGGGTGATAAAATCAAAGGCGCTATACTTATTGATTTCGATGTCAAGTTTCGGAAGCTGAGCTTATATATTGTAATAATTCATAATGATATATCCATACTTTTGGGGCATTCGTATACATTTTCGAAAATAGATGGTGAGTGTAAGTTTAAAAGCAAGATTGTTGTGGCTCATCCTCTTCATTACAGACTACACCAAAAAAAGCAAAGTCGATTGTTTACTTGACCTATTATGCATTAGCTCAGTTAAGCTAGGAAATATATGTCAGTTCCAGGCTTTTGCCCTACAGGGACTGCGCTGACAGGTATTTCTCCAGGGAGATATAAATATAATATTTAATGGCTCCAAGAGCGAAAATATGGCTCTTTGTCAGATGTTTCCTAGCAATAGAAGACTCAGCAGCTTTTATAATATTAGAGTGTGGGAGGCTTTTTTTAAACGTTTAATGTTGTTGTATTCAAAGGTGAGACAAATTTACAGATATACCCTTAAAATGCATAGTTTATGCCGTCCACTCCAGCCAAATGCTCGAAGGATCATTGATGTTAGAATCAGTGAAAAATATCATCAAAAATATGAAATAAAATGAAAATAGAATTATCATACGACAAACGATACAGATAACAAATATATTTCTCCTTTTAATGTGTCACTTCATTGTAACGAAAATGTTTCAAAAAATCATTCGAAACCATTCCAATAGGCGAATTTATTTTATTTTTCGAATGTTTCAGATAATTATTTGCAGTGAAAAATTGCGATTGAGATATGTTCTCAAAGTATGTCGTTTTCAGCAATAGCGTTTGAATTTTGGTTTTGCTTCTAAAAATATGTGACTATAAAAGGAATCGAAATTTAAGTATAATATTTTTCTTTGCAGTGTATTCATAATTAATCCTTCATCATCGTCGTGATCAGCCTTCAAAAGAGAAATCAAATATAACAATGCCTACGGTTACAGGCGCACCTTTCGTTCCACAACCAGTTCATCGAACGATTCGCTTTCCCAAATCGAATTATCATGCGTATGACGCATACGATGTAAGTAGGAAAAGAGAAAAAAAATCATTTTCCAGGATACAGACTGACAATTTAGAGTCCATCTCAATCACCAACTCCTTCAAAATCACACACAACCTCGAATAAAGAAAATCTTCTCGGAACAACAACGAAGTAAATCAGTGACTCTCTGATGAAAATTAATTTCTTTTTTTTTAAATTATCAATTGTAGAGAGTCAACACGAATGAAAATCCTCGTTGGTTCGATAATAGCTGCTGTTTGTGTTGTGCTGATTGTCGTTGTTGTTGTGGTTGTCTTGCTCACTCGAAAATCAAGTAATAACTCCTTTTTTCATCCCATAGAAAATTCTGACGTTGTTTCATTCGATATTTGACGAATCCTTGAGATTATAAAGTTTCATAGCAACTTTGGATTATAAAAGGGATCGGTAGAGAACCAATTTTTTCAGAGACAATAATAATGAAGCATCAAATTTCGGTGATACACTCTTGTATTTGAGTGGCCCCTGAAAACCATTTGATATTGTTTCATTTTTTCGAAATATCAATTATATCAAAAGGATCAAAGTTTTAAGCAAATGGAACAATTACTGACAAGGTCCAACCAGATAATAACATGTTCTTAAGAGAAAAATCATAGATTGATCAAAAACAACAATGTCTCATATTTGATTTTTTATAAATATCTTTTGTCTGATCAACTTAGGTGCTACATTAACTACGACAAGTGCAACTATTACTTATGTATTATGGAGCTTTGATAATGTAACAACGGATTTATACGATGTTTACAATGGTGACTTGATAAATGGTGCAACATGCACTGTGAGCTCTAGTACAATCCCATATTTGGGTCAAGGTTACCCATTAGGTTTAAATTCATCACTAAATCAATCATTTGAAGTTTCTACATTCTTGAATCTTGCCTCTACAAGTTTTACTATTGAAGCCTGGATTTATTCAACAGTTGTGACAGGACAGAATGGTATTATGGGGCAATGCCAATGTTCAACATGTTTAAATGAATGTTTTTATTTTTTGATTCAATCCAGTAAATTGTATGTTGGATTTACATTGAATGATATCAGTGGTTTAACTACACTTGCCGTTAATACCTGGTATCACATAGCTTTTGTTTATGATTCTGTCGCAAAACAACAAGTCTTATATTTAAATGGAATTCAAGATAATATCAGGTCAAGTGTATCTGCTTATCAAGGAGCAAATGGAACATTTACGGTCGGTTCTGCGACCTTCTCGTCATCCACAACGTTTTTCAATGGTTACATAGATAATGTTAAAATTTCGACACAAACAAAATCTGCAACAGATATTTTATATGCGGCATCATTGATAGCCTATTATTCATTTGATTTACCTACTCCAACAAATGATAATGGTCCAAATGGATTAAATGGTACAACAGTAAATACAGCATCAGTTACTGGACGTGTTAATGAAGCATTGCGATTCACTGGCTCATCATCGTATTTTCAAGCATATGGATTTTATCAAGCTGGATTCGGTGTTAATTATAACAAACCATTTTCAGTCTCAATGTGGATAAGTGTATCGTCGTATACCAGTTGTGCAATTGTTCAAATGTCAACAGCTTATAATGCTAGCTCATGTTTTAATATGCTTGGTATTTTCGCATATACTGGTAATTCGGGTCAGTGGGTTGCTCAAGGTTATGCTTGGCCAACTATTTATGGAACGCCTATAACATTGAACACCTGGACACATATATCATGGACATTCTCTCTAACTAATGGATATCGATTGTACATCAACGGAGTTTACTACGGCACAACTGGTTATTATTCTTATGGTGGTACTTCTGGAGCGATTACTTGGATACAAATCGGCTACAATTTTGGTTGCAGCAGTGCTTATATTACAAATGCTGGCTTTCAAGGAATTATTGATGAAGTTTATGTTCATAATCGAGAAATCACGGCGGCAGAAGTTTCTGCGCTGGCTAATCCCTAAGCTTCTTCTCAGATCAAATCGCTTGACACCTTTATCACGAAACATTGTATTCAAGCTTCAGATTTCTTTGGTTTTGTAACTTTTTGTTATTTCTTAATAAAGAATTCTTCGAAATTCACTCTTTAACTGCTGATGTTCCAATGTCTTTTTCAGTTGATCATCTGCGTTTAACACCCAAGTCAAATGGAGTCCTCTTCATGATTCGTATAAATTTCAAATGGGATCGATTCTTTCTAGATGCTCATATTTTCAGCCCTGAATGTGTTTCAGTCGAAATCGATGTCTCTGTGATATTTGCATGTACAACGCTTTCATGCACTTTGATTTGCTTTTCTATTCTTATTGCGCTGAGTTCATAAGTATATCAAATGTTGATGAACGATGATGTTCGCATGTAATTAATATGATTTAACAGAAATGCTAAATCCATACGATGACATATTGAACTAGAAAGTATCATTTAAACATGTGAAATGATAATAACATAATAGAGGCTAAGTGAAAGATAAATCTATAGCTAGCAAAGGCTGAAACGGATCAAGACATTGGAATGGACCTTCTGTTCAGGAACTGCTTTTCTCAAGAATTGATCTAGGGTGGATTTATGACAAGGTTAAGTTTATAGAGAGTGTTGATAAGGGTGGGTGTGCCTTTTTGCTTCAGCGATAATCACCCTAGTGAAACATCTTGTAAGCAAGATCTGGAAATCTTGGGATAGGTAAGTAAGATCTTATCAAGATCTTAAAAAGATAATTTGTATGTACATATCTTGGCTGTATCAGATAACTCTGCACCTAAGATCTTGGAAAGATCATGGAAAATATGTCGTTTACTATTATCTTCTCACGAGATCTTGAGTAAAACAGAAACCGACATCATTAGTGTACTTACAGAGACTATCGAGTCATTCACAGTTTTTTTATGCATACAGAACTGAATATCAGCAGCATGATTGAGCATGCGAAACATAATTGTTCAAAATTTTTTTTTCTAAACTGTTTCTCGGTTATTGAGTATTCGAGAGAATGCTGATCTCGATGGATGGTCGAGAGAGTACTACCCTAAATTGGTCTGACAAATATCGGACCAACTTAAAGCTAGTCAGATCCCAACGGTCGAGTTGTTTGAGTTATTCGGGAGAGGAATAAGTAAAATTAATTGAAAAAATATCAAAGCATGCTTTCACAGAAAAAGTAAACACTGCGCTGTATGATAGATCCAAGTCATACTTTCAGCATGCGCCATGCAATGTGTCGGAAATCACGATACATGCAACAGATTTCATTTTAGTGTGCATCCAAGATCTTATGGATTCTTACATAAGATCTCTAATCAGATCTTAGGTACAAGATAACTGTGTTATCTTGTACCTAAATGTTCAAGATCTGCTAACATACATATATGTACCGTGTATCTTGGCCAAGATCTTGCTTATAAAATGTTTGTCTAGGACTGTCCCACACCTTGAATGGAGTGATAGATCTAATAGAAGTAGTTCGGCAAATGAGTTGCTTCAAAGCCTCTTGTTTTCAATAGATATGAAAGAATACAATCTTTTTTTTATTAAAATCCAAATAAATATCTCTTTTCAGTCGCTGAATTTAACTTCAGCGTAATTATACATAAATAGAAATGTAATTCTGCATAGAGCTATCATATTATCGCAAACAAGCCTAGTCTAATAAATAAACATTGTCTTCCATGTTTGCTTTAGTTCCAATAGTATGATGATCTCGCTGCAAAATAACAAATTATTGATGTATCAACAAACGGTTTGTATTTATTGCTGGTTTAATTATGGGTGTCGTTGCTAAATTCTTTTCATGATTTTTCACGTCGTTCGATAGTATTGTTGATGATTTGACGTTGTCTGGTTCAAAAGGTTTATCAATTGTAGTCTTTTCAAGAGTTGGTGTTAGATTTTTTCGTTCACTTCGACGTCGTTCAACATTAATTCGAAAGCCTGTTACACCGATTCGACTTAAATAAAGTTCACGATGACGTTGTACTGTTGTTGTTATGGGATGATAGTCTTTTGGACGATCTTTTTTTATATCAATTGTGGCGTCAGCTTCAGTATTTGCTACTTGTGCATGAAGTGCACCAAGAAAGTATTTTGTAAGACCATCTAGGATATCAACACAATGCATACGATCATTTTCACATATGGGCAAATCCATGGCAACAAGTGCTAAATGATTTGGTTTCGAAATACGTAATGGCGGTTCAAGACCATCAACAAACTCCGATAATTGATCGTATCGTATAAATTGTGAGCCTGACGGATCTAGACGTTGCCATTTTTCATAATACATATCATAATCATCATCGGTTAAACCCTAAACATCAAAGTAAAACGTAAAAATCAAAAAAATCTCTTCTTGCATCTATTTACTTGTTGCACATCTTCTTGGGCTTGAGAAAAATTTTCTAATATTACAGCAATATACATATTTACCTAGATAGTAATACGAAATTAGAAAATCGAAAAATAAAAATACTTTAACTCTTACCACAACGAGAGAAGTAATTATTACATAAGTCACAACAAATGGTGTTGCAATAGCCGTATCACCACAGTCTCCTTTATGTGATGGTGTATTTAGAGTTGGATCACAATCTGGTGGCTGATCGTTTGTTAGCGCTTGGTAAACACCAGACCAGCCGGCAGTTGTACACATTTGAAATAGTACAATCATTGAATTAGGAAATGTTTCGAAATTAAATAAATCTGTAATGCCAGCTGATTTCCTCACATAAGCAAAAAACGACATTCCAAATATTGAATAGATAAACATGACAAGAAAAAGAAGAAGTCCAATATTTAACAAAGCAGGCATTGAAACAACTAATGCAAATAGTAATGTTCGAATACCTTTTGCTCCTAGAGAAAAATAAAAAATGATAACTTTCAAAATTCTACAATTCATTCATTCCCATGAAATCGAACCTTTCACAAGGCGTAATACCCTTCCAACACGTGCAACACGCACAACACGTAATAACGTTGGATTAACAAAATAATTTGCCATTATTTCTCCTAGTGTTTGCCCTGGAATGAAAAATCCCCAAAAAAAAGATTTGTAATTAACATGAATTGCAATACGACGTACCAAGAATCGATGCTATCACAATGATGAAGTCAAATATATTCCAAAAAATAATAAAATATTTAAAATTCAATGCAACTAATTTCATAACACATTCAATAGTAAATCTAAATTAGTATTCAACATATAACACAGGCAAAATTCGATTTCATGAATCTTAAAAATCACAGTTTTTGGTAACATTTCGATTTTAGTTGTGTTCAATTAGTACTTTTTCTTTCTTAAAACCGCATACGACAACTTTTTTCTAAACATTTTACTTAGAGCATATATATATATCTGTAGCACTAGGCGTGTCGTACACGTCCCATGAAAGTATCATTAGTCAAGTTATAATATTATACGAACATTTTCAATATTGTTTCGTAAGAGTCGAGTTATGGTTCTACCACAAACAAAGAGTTTGAAAACTGCCTGGGTGTAAATTTGCTGGAACTTTGCCGAGTGCAGCTCAGTCTGACCATTTTAATTCGAAATTTTCAAAACGACTAGTCTATTGATAACACATTATGTTGGATAAAGGCAAGTCAATGATCATCTCTGCTAAAGTGATTCTTGCCTGGAACACTTTCTCAAGGAAATCCGGCCGAAAAGACCAGGAGCTAGAAAGTGTATCATAAAACTTTAAGATGTTTATGGATAAATCGTGAACATCCAATAAAATAAATGCTTGAATGATTCATTTTCTGTGTCGTGCTCAATAACCTCATTAATTTTCATTTGTTTTTCCATTGTTCTGACCCCCATTAAAATAAACCTCGTTCAAGAGAAGAGATTACGACTTGTAAAAAAAAACTAGAAAACGTAATCGTGACTCACAGCTATTTAAACCACAGTATACGTCGGAGTACAGCTGTTTACATCTAGAAAACCACACAAACTCATTGGCGGCATGATCAACTTTTTTGTGAAAGTGTTTCTAGTCTAACTCAACGAGAGACATAGTTCAAATTGAAAAACACCGAGTATTCTGACATATTACGGATCTGTTATTGATTGTTTACTTACATTGCAACGAAAAAATTATTGATATATGCAAGAGCATGGTCAAAACTTTCACTTTGATTATGATGTTCAAGACACATGCAAAGCATATTAAGAAAAATACATATCATAATAGCTATATCAAATTTTTGATTTGTTGTTACATCAAAAAGAAATCTTGCAAAAGCAAACTAAAATAAACAGAAGATTAATTCATATTCATTTGTTTGAAAAATTTACTCTTGGTCTTGGCAATGCTTTAGTAGGTTTTTTATTGCCCATTTTTTTCATTGCGTTATAATATTTTTTTTGATCTTCCGTCATAAATATGTTCACTGAATCATCAACTCCTAGCTATAATTTAGAAAAAAAAACGACCAGTCATTTATTTTTTTAAAAATCTTATTGAATTATCAATTGGTAAACTTAACATTCGTTTTTGTTGATTGAAATTATCAATAACAACACCAATAAATAAATTGAGAGTAAAAAATGAGCCAAATATAATAAATAAAACAAAATAAAGAAGAATATAAACATTAATCTCGTACTCTGGTTGAACGTCTACCTAGAATATTGGATTATGAACAAAGCATAGATATCGAAAAAATCTAATAGGAATAGCTAATACTTCTTTGACATCAGATGCATCAGCCATTATTTCAATCCAACCTTTGAAAGTTGCCTATTGGAAGAAAAACAAAATTGATTAGTACCAGAATAACTATCCAAATAGTCTCAAACTGCATCGTTAAAAAAGTTATTAGTGCTCAATCAGTGGGGAATTCAGATGTAAAACATGATTAGAGATATGCATGACCAACTTCAATTTGAGTCTCGTTCGCCGAGACCGAGACCGCGAGAAATAAGTCGTCTCAAGTGAAACTAAAGATTACAATTATCTTATAAATCATATCAACTAAAATATCACTCAGCAGAGATTAGAAATGGTATAAATGAATTTTGGAAACGTGCTTTTTCCCGTAGATCGGAAACGGGAGTAAAAGAACGTGTCACATTTCTTTGTCATCCGTTTATTTAATCATCCAGGAATAGAATAATGAAGCAGTTCATAGAATATAACAAGCAGGGCGTGATGGATCCTTCCAAATTTTTAATTCAACATTCGTTTAAGAGCATGTTTCAACGGTTCTTACTGTTTTCAGAAAACAATTTATATAATTCGCTAATTACTTTTCACGACGCATAAACAATGGTTTATCTAAACACAAAATTACTCATAATATTTACTTTCTATCTCGTCTCTTAATAGCTTTTCCTTTTGTTTCTATTGCGAGAAAAACCATTGCATATAAGAACTTACGACTTGAAATAAAGCCAAGTAACCACTCAATACGTTGTCAAAATTAACTCGTGAATTTTCCCATGTAAAATTTCTATTTAGACAATCAATTTTATTCGTTACATTTTCTGATATATTAACACGATCGTGTGTACCAACATAAACACATTTATAAAATCTTCCACCAAATAATTGTACACCCATAATCGAAAATATCAACCAGAATACAAGACAAACAAGTAAAACATTAAAAATGGCTGGTATGGCACCAAATAATGCATTAACAACAACCTATTTGAAAAGGCAATAATACATAATTAGAGTCAATTATTTGCATACTCGAATTCCTTCAAATCTCGACAGGGCTTTTAATGGACGTAAAGCTCTTAATGTTCTCATTGATTTAAATGCTGGAATATCAGCTACACCAAGCGTATCAAGACTCGTTCCAAGAACACTAACAACAACAATAACAAAATCTAATCGATTCCAACCGTTCGAAAAATAATCCTTGATTCCATATGCAAACCATTTCAATATTAATTCAGCTGTAAAAATAACTGTAAAAAATTTATCAAGTATGACTAAAATTTTGGTAAATTTTGGTTTTTTTCGTGTATGTACATCTTCTAAAGCCTTTTATATAAAGACAAAACAAAATCAAATCTTTTCAAATTTCGATTTTTCTCTACGATCAACTTACTAAAGTTGCACTGCTAGCTAATATACTAACAATAATCAACCATTCAAAAACTTGATGTTCAACAAGCCAATGAGCTTGACTACGAAGATATGTCCATCGCTCTTGAATTACTTTTGGAACATACTTAGAACAACAAGAAAAATGCTTTGATATCATTGTGGGACAACAATCTAGCGGCACGTGAAGACTTTGCCACGTTGACGGAGATGTTATCGAATTCTTATTGATTGTTTGCATTGCAATCTCTTCATCAGTGGTTAATAAATCATGAGATAAAACTACTGAAGTATTAAATTGTTCTAAATCATATAATGTCGGTACAGAAAAAGTACTAATTAATTTTTGTGTAGCAGTTAGCGACTAAAAGTACAAAATGAAATGAAATCGAATTGAATAATATATAAATAACCAAAATCAAAGTTGATTATGACCTACATTTTCATTGGTATTGTTTTCTTCTATATTAGTCTGTTGTTTTTTCCGATCAAAGAAATGAACAATAAATTTAATTAGAAAATGATAAAATCGTTGAATACGATCAATTGCTTCTGCAATTTTGTTTTCTTCCTCTTCTTTTTCAGTTAAAACATTCGAGCTGAATGATGCAAGTAAAAGTGCCAAAAATAAATTTAATATCTAATCAAATGGAAAATTAGAAATTTTTCTGTAAGTACTTCATTAGTTATAGTCTGTAGCGATTTTAGACATTTAAAATTTTGAAATTTAAAATTCATCATTGTGGAGAAATATTTTAGTCTGGATATATGAATTACGTAAGATGTGTCTTCATTAACAAAGCGCATAGAATACAAAAGAGTGAGCTAATTGAGAGGAAAATCTTGTTTTGCATAGACCTGATTGGTTTTTTGTATACAGAAAGAATATTATTGGAATCAATTGAGTCGTTCTTGAAACATACGACTCTTAAAACTCTTTCAAGTTATAGTTAAATTGTACAGTACTCTTCATAAAATTGTGTTAAATACATCGAGAGTTCAAAAACAGTCATATAATGTTTGTCTCTATTATACAATTTTTTCTCATCAGCCTAATTGGAAGACATCGACTGTGTACTCCATACAGTGATCAGTCATAGCTTACATAGATTGACTCTTATCGGCGTGAAACATTTTTTATTCGATGCTATAAAGATAAAACTACTAGGCACATCCTACTTTATGCTAGTACACAATCGCAGCATCTTTCCTGCTTATTACCTTTCTATTATAGTAGAGAGGAAATATTTTTTTAAAGTTTATCATCTTAATAGCTGATAGATTAGCTGTCCACCGAACCCATTTTAAGTTGAAATATAATATTAAAGCGGCTTTTCAAGCGTAATGCTCTACTCCATAAAGTAAAAAATACGTACCACAAGATTACCAATGATAAATGTTAATAGGAAAAATGGAATACATGGCCATCCAGCACATTCAAGACACACCCACATTGATTCAATCCATTCACCACATAAGACACGAAAAACAATCCTTTAAAAACGAAAAGAATTAAAATCTGTTCTATGTTCATTCAAATAAACTTACATAAATGAATGAAAGAAATCAAAAAAATTCCATCGTGGCATGTTTTTACCGAATTTGTCCTCATATTTTTGACCGAATAGCTATGCATCATCGCTAAGATTAAATTCATTCAAAATTTCTTTCGATTTACCTGCATTCCCACAACAGCAAAAATAAATATTATAATAACTAGAACCACTGTTAAATTTCCTAAAGCTCCTATTGATTTACCAATAATTGACATAAGACGATTCAGCGTTTGCCAGGATTTAGCCAATTTAAATACGCGTAACTTAATAGAATAGAGAGAAACTTGTCAACAAAAACCACCAATAGTTCGAATGCAATTACATACTAATCGAAATGAACGTAAAACACTTAAACCTTTTACATTAGCAAGACCTAATTCAATAAGACTGACTGAAACAATTAATAAATCAAATACGTTCCATCCACTTTTTAAAAATTTAGCTGGTGTCATTGCAACGATTTTTAGTATAGATTCAGCTACAAATATACTTGTAAAAACGTAATTGCCTGCTGTTAAAATTCGTGTCGTCTTTTCACTTTGACCATGATGATCAATCGCCATGAATACTGTATTTAATATAATACAAATTGTAATAAATAAATCAACAAACGCATCCAATACAAAAAAAGCCACAGCAGTCTAAAAAACGACATCCGACTATTTTATGCATTTGATATGAATAGAAATTAGATGTGCATCATGTGTACTGCCAGAAGCAATGTATATCTTTAGAATAATCTGAATACTAGGTTTGGTGTAATCCCACTCGAAAACTAACTTTCCATAGAGACAGATCTTAGGGAGAGTGGTTTATGGGGCCATTTCTAGATACTTTGATTTGCTCACTACCATGGACTTAGAACATTGGATCCATCAATGTACATTTCAAAAAAATTAGAGCAGAATAATAAATCCTTGAAGAGTTTATGACGCTTTGAAAAACCCTCAAGCGTTTACTCTACGGTATGCTTTTAGAAACACTTCCATCATGGCCCTAGTGTGTCATGATAGCAACGAGCATATTTCTTAGGCAAAGGCATCGTATACAGTTGTAAAATACCCGCTGATCGCAATAGTAAATTTAGGCATTGGATTCTCCACAAGATATTCATCGTTAATTAGCGTTTACATGATGCGCATAATCCCAGCTCGCAAGCGATTAAACTATGTTTTATGTTTATGAGTGAAAATATTATTATAAAAAATACGTACTTGAAATTTTTGAAATATTGTTGATATACAATTGCATTTCCAACAAAAAGTTCGTAGAAATTTAACTACTGCTCCGTCATCCGTTTTAGTTGCGTTCACATCTAAAACGATAATATTCATATCAAATATGTTGATGGCTGATTTTTTCTGATCCATCACGAGAGTTGAGTTCTTTTTTGTTAGAGAGAATAATGCATATTGTGTAACGTTTCAAGAAAGACTCGGATTCGATATTTTTCAAACATCAGAAATATTTTAGAAGATAATGCTTTTTTTCTCAAAATATCTCTCTCATCTTAACAACTCACACTCGATGACGTCCATCCTGAGCACAAGAAAGTTAAGGAAGAGTTTTCCAAGGCTGTCGATTTTTAAATATTTCTGATCATTTAAAAAACTGTAATCAAATTCTTTCACGAATTTTTGTACTACACTAACACTATTGTTTTACATTCAAGGCAAATCGGTGAAAAGCTACGGCGACTATATAGTGAAGGAAAAATCTAGGTGCTATGACTATTACACTCGGGACAATAGTTTCTCGGTGGTAAATTATCCCGCTACAATCACGAATCAGTTCCCAATTTATAATCAGACGTCCTGTACCACTCGCCAACTGACACAATAACTTTTTCAAATTTTGAACGAATGCACATATTGACAAGCACGTAGAGAGATGAGCCCATGAATGTTTTATGAAATATATCATAGAATAACTCACTTTTTGATCGAACACTTATTCTATCGAATTCTGGAACAGCTAATAATTTATTCATTGGTGCACATACCATAGGAGGTTTGTCTTGGTAGAGCTTTAATATAAATGTTTAATAAAAGAAGAAAGAAAAAAATATATTTTATTTTTACTGTAATACTCAAATCGCCATCATTTTGATTTATTTCCGGGAAACAAGAAATGCTGTTTGTTTGTTGACTTTTTCTGTCTTCATTTGGTGAATTTTGCTGTGTTTCATCAAAAAATGGTATTCTCGTTGCGCCGTTTGCTGTGACATAGGGCACGGTTAAACTTGACCTATCGAATTGAAACAGTGACGGCGATGCTTGCAATGATCCTATGCTATTTGATTCATGTTTCTAAAAGTTTGAATTTTAGAAAAGCAAAAAATTTAACACTAAATTATTTACAGTTTCATTTTGTTCACATTCGATAGAAATACCAGAATATGAAATTCTACAATTTGCATCTTCACCACCCAGCGCAGTTTCAGCATGTAAAAGCACATGAGCTTCTAATGCTTTTTGTACTTCTTCGTTTTCTAAATCGATATCATCTTGAATTTTACGTCTTTCACGTTCTTCATTTTCCGCTTCAACTAATGTCTGCTGTCCAAGATAAGACATCGAAACGATAGCTAAGATTAAATTAATCAAATAAAATGAACCAAAAAATATAATAGCAAGAAAATATAAAAAATGATAACGACCAGATGCTGACAACACCTAAATTAAAATATAATAATAATTTAGAAAATTATTGTATTTTTCATTTTTACTAATAGATAAAGATTTTCCCAATAATCTTGTGTCATTAGTCGAAAGCAGGAGAGCATTGCCCAGCCATAATTATCAAAACTGTACCAACACAAATTTAAATGAAAATAAAAGTAAATTAAATCTACCTTGTATATCCAAAATTAGGACTAGAAAGCAACAAGTTTCATTAAGTTAATGATTAAAAGCAAAAACCTACTTCATCCCTCGATCTTTCCAACAAACATAACCATAAGGACATTTTACACTTCCGGTTGCATTACCACAAAGAACATAAACTTCATTTTTTTGATACCAATAAGCTATCAAGAGGAAAAAAATGAATGTTACTATTGATGATTAGAGCATGGACCTCTTATTATGTTGCTATATCTCTCGGCAGCCATTCAAGCTCTACCTCTTTCATTTAGATCGAACGAAATGAATAGATGCACAATGTAAGACTTAACTATTTGGACAAACGTCGATGATTGTCAATTCATTGGATTCACATGAATGAGGCAAAGTTGAACGAAGAATCGATTGAGCGACTATTCTAATAAGGTGCCCAGGAACATTCTAGAAATAATCCGATCACTGTGTATGCAGAGGCACGCACAGTGCATAACTACTCGAGAGACTTTTTTGCATTTCCAGACCACAATGCTAATATAAAAATCCAATTACTAGGAGAATAGCGCTGTTCGGCAGTGAATACTCCTCATAACAACCGTTTCGATTTATTGAATAAATAGAAAGAAAAAGAGATGTGATTCGTCACACGAATAGCACTATCCGTATTTCTTGCGAAGTCGAATTGACCATGAGAAATTTCGTCTGCAAGTATGCATCTCAATCGCAAAATACTCTAATCAACAACAATAATCAGCACTTAACATCGTCTAGTCTCAGACATTTTCGCACTAAATAATATATTAACATACTTTCAATATACATTTCTTTCACGTAGAATTCATATGATCTATTAAATCCAACGCTAGAAAAGTTGGAACTATTTAGAAAAGATTCATAAGTCGGTACACATTTTTGTCGCAGAGCACCCATATAAAGTTGTAATCCTATCTATAATTAAACGAACAGATTATCTAATATATGATTTTTGTTTCTAAAATTTCCAACCAAAGCAAATATTGAAAGAATAAAACTGGATAAAACCGACACATCTCGTAGAGAAAAAAAAGATTGTACTAAAGCATTTACAATTGTTTTCAAACCTAGAACAATAAAACAACTAAGTAACATTCTATAAATATATTGAACAATATACCAGGTATAACAGCAACAGTTTTTAGTGCTCGCAGTACACGAAATGTTCGTAGTACGGCAACTTTTCCCAAATTAACAAAAAATGTTATATATCTAAAAACATTATCGAACGAAAATTTTTTTAAGCAAAATATTCTCATCCTTTCAATACATACGCAAGTGTAATTACAATGAAATCTAACCAATTCCATGGGTCGCGTAAAAATGTGTATTCTTGTAGAATAAATCCTCGTGCAATACACTTTGTTAATGCTTCAAGTGAGTAAATTATTGTAAAAACATATCTATTGAATTTAAATAGAGGAAAGAAAAATACTATTAAGTAGAAACTAAACGAATATCAGCTACTCAGTCGCTTCCGGCGCATTTCTAAGCGTCATAAATACGCAATTAGATAGAATAGTAATCATAACCAATGCACTGAACAGTGAGTGTGTTAATATTCGGATAGCTAAACGTCGAAAACAATTAAACGGAGAAAACACAAAACAAGCTGATGTTGCACTAAATCGAAATATTGTATTGTTTCGATTGATAACCACAAATATCTATCGTTAAAAGAGAAAAAATAAATAAAAGAAACTCTTTCCGAAGATTATACATACGTATTCAGCTCGATAATACGAATCGATTTCTTCAATTGGTTTTCCGATAAGTTCAGCTGGAAATTTATTTTGTAAAAGTCGTGGTAATGTTTGTCCAACGGCCAATTCTTTATTGGGCATTCGTTTATGATCAATGTGTTTATCGTTAGATGGCTTATTCGTACAATGATTTTTATTATTATTGTCCTCACGTGTTGTTTGGTGCTCTGACCGTTTAGCAGCAATACGTTCAGCGTCTTCTTGCCGATAGCGTTGAATACGACGAAATGATTCTTGTGTAAACTCGCGAAAAACGATCGACTTGTAATTCATAATGATTATCAATAGTTATACCTGTTCGTATACATATCTATTTAAACAATTGTAAATTTATTTTCCGAGCAGCGAAAATAAATTTACAGTAATCCAATGTCGTTCATTTCACTAGTGTTATTTCATTAAGTATGGCTGCATATGAGCTCATGTTTGATACCCCATGAGGATGACGTTGCATTCCACCTATACTGAGATAGATGAAAAATAATAGAACGAGCGTAGTACCTGGTCGTTCTATGCAATAAAATAAATTAGTGCTCTGAAGTAAAACAGCTTACATCTAATACCATATGAAGAATGAAAAACAATTCAGTGATTATATGATGTTTTCATCAATAAATAACGTATCGTCTAATAGAAATTTTTATCATTTCGATGCTCTTGCTTTATTATATTCTCTCTTACAAATTTTAGCTACTATTAAAATAGATTTATAACTATCTGAAGGTACTCATGTCACTTGTAGTATTTCATTAAGTATAGCAGCACATAAACACACATTTGATATCCCTTGAGAAGAACGTCGCTCTCCATCTCTATCAATATATAGATGAAAAGTAACAGAACGAGTGTAGAATCCAGTCATACAAATTCATTAGTTCTCTAAATTAAAACAGCTTATATCTATACTATATGAAGAATGAAAACACTCGATAGTTGGTTGCGTCATATTCTCACTATTGAATAATGTTACCAGCGTTATCTAACATAAATACTTTCATTTTGTCGATCTTTCTTTGTCGCATTCATCGGATATCTCACTTCTCTGTTTCTGAACGAAAATTTCTCTTTTATTCAGCGGATTTTACACTGCAAAACAGACAGGTCGATTGACACAAAAGACGATTCCATAATAGAAATAGAAGATGAATTTAATAGCGTCTTGTTACAGCAAATTGAAATGAGTAGCTCACCGCTACTCTTGACAATGATGCTTATTCAGCTACTTTAGACGTCCAATATATATCTATTTTACATTGAACACCAGCTTATAGTGCGAGGTGATATAAATATCGGCACACCTTCCCACTCAGATTAGACGCGTTCCCGAGTGTTTTTACAGTTTAGAGAAAAAAAATTGCATAACAGAGCATATGGAAAATCCATCATTTTGAACATGACAATACAATGAAAAATCAGATACGAAGGATATTAATCGATACAGTTTTTAAGAATCTCTTGAACAGGAGATTTTTATTTTCAGAAACGGTAAAAACACACAACGCACGGCTACACAGAAAAACTCAAGTGTAGAAAGGGAACACTTCCATGTCATTCTTATCACGGATGATTCGATGGTGCAGTCGGCTAGGCTGTTCTCGTAGCTATTCAAACTTTCAATTACTTTTCTTCAAATATTTCGAACAGTGTGATGTTATATAAATATTGACGCACATCTTTCTTTTTTATTTGATTCAATAAATTTATGTCGACATTTCGATATTTCACAAAGTATTATCAAGACAACAGTTGAAATTGCGAACTAGTGAGAAAATATATTGTTTTTTTCGCCCATTTTAATTAATTTTATGATTGTTTTCTAAGTCGTAAAACACTTCAGTCAAATTCATTTGATAAGTTTCAACCAATCTCATCCTTTGAACGATTGAGGAAGATACATATTGAGTGATCTGCAGTTTGTTTTCCTCGGAAAATCTTATGTACTTGAATTTATTTGATACTTTGCTTCGTTTATTCAAAACTAGAATGCATGTATTAAAACGATCTGCTATATTCTTGTATAGATTAGACAGAGATCGCAATTAGATCCAATCTATACGAGCGTAGTGAAAACTTCAGAGCTTGTACAATGCACATCTTGAATCGTAAAATTTGAAAATAATCTTCGAAAATCGAGGTCACAAGAATTTAAATCTATCAAGAGGGGAAAGGGGCTAAGCCTAAACCCTATCGCAACTGAACTAGTTTACAACCATACCTACGTTTATATATGTGGCAGTCGAGTTTAGAATCTAGTTGAGATTGGAATTGCTGAGTATTCTATAAGTGTTATGAGAGAGTGATTCATAGAAATTGAATTTTATTAGTGAATGATATGAGATAGTTTGATTGAGTATGTAGATTCAAAAACACGTTTTTGTTTCCAAGATTAATTGTGTCTATCTTTCATGATCGAAGAGAGAGAAATGAGAAAGATTCTGAAAAGATGTTTATTTCAATGCTCGGAACAAAGGGACATTGATTTTTTTCTTTCGTTCTACATTAGAAGAAAAGGCAGAAAGAGAGTTTCGCTATCGTTATTTCGAAGTACGGGTCTCGAGCAGGTGGGATGGGAATGGAACGAGTTTTTATATCGAAGGATATGGAAGGAAAGGAAATTTTTTTAAAATTTTTCATGAAATTAATAAAGAAGTTTCTTATATGAGTAGTTCATTTGATGTGTTATTAGCTACAATCGTTCTTCGTTAAAAAAAAAATAAGTCAATATAAAAAAAACTTCATAATTTATGTCCAATCATTGTCTGTTTCATAGTGAAGAAGATCGATTATTAAAACTCAAATTAATAAACAAATGATGACAAAAAAATTAGATACTAATAGATTCTACTAAATTTTTAAAGTGTAAAAGTCGGATAGGTAAGTATTTCTTAGATGATGTAACATTATTGTCATAATCAATGAAGTATTTTATTTTATTTTAATATTAAAGTGTTAGTTCAACGAGATACATTAATTACTGTATGACTCATACAAGCGAGATGAGAGCGCGTTGAGATAAATGAAAAATAAGAAATAAATTTTTTTTTTGTTTTGGTCACCAATTTAAAAAAGAAATCTAAATTATGATCAATTAGAAAATAGTTTGCTAAATCTAACTCGTAGAAAAAAATTTCCATATCGTTTATATAATTTTACTTGCATTTTGATGTTCGAAATTGTTTTCTTCTTTTCTTTTCTTTTTTTCGCTCTCTTTTGTGTCTATTTTCTCTATCTTTAATTAAATCTATTATTCCAATCTCAACTAAATTCTCATGTCAACTGTAACAGTTGTGGAGTATCAATCATGAGAATCCGATTAGCATTCTTAATTCTCGTATCTACCATGATTTATTCAGTGTCAAGTTCCATTGTTATTGCTGATTTTCAGCAACAGGCGCTAGAACAACACAACTTTTACCGCCAACAACTGCATTGCACCGGTTTATTGACGCTGAACTCATCATTGAACACAATCGCCCAAAACTATGCTCAATATCTGGCCAAAAATGATATCTTCCATCACAGTGGAGTAGCAGGACTGGGAGAGAATTTGTATTATTTATTTACGTCGGCGGGCATTTATTCTTTAAACGGTAAAAAATATTAAATTTTTTGGCTGATAAAAGAATATTTTCATATTTATGTCAGGCTCAAAACCTACAGCTGCATGGTACAATGAAATCTCCTTATACAATTATAAGTCGCCAGGTTTTTCTGCTGCAACTGGCCATTTTACCCAAGTTGTATGGGCTGGTTCCACGCAGTTGGGCATCGGAATTGCATTCACCAGTAACAATTTGGCCGCTTATGTTGTAGCCAACTATTTTCCTCCAGGAAATTATTTGGGGCAATTCCCAGCCAACGTACTTCCACGATGCGCTACATCGATTAATAATTCAGCTGTCGGCATGACTGAACAGTACCCTAATTTATCTGCTAGTTTTGTCGAATTTAGCTTAGTTCTTTGTTTATTTTTATACTAAATAGAGAAGCAAATTAAAATGAAACGAACACTGTTGTATTTTTTTAACTAATCATTTTTCTCATGTAACTAACGTTTCTGAGAATAAAAATTTAGATTCTAACATTGAAGAAAACTCAGAAGAAGTGCGACAAGAAACTATGATTTCTAAATGTGTATCGTTGTCAAGCGTGCTTTGTATTGATCCGGAGATTTAACTTCCTTCAAATATGTTAACAGAGTATCTTATTTTTTTCTTCCCGTGATAGTAATAAAATAAAACAATCTCAATCATCATTTATAATTTATAATGAAAATATATCACGCGAATTATCTTTTGTGTTCACCAAGCAGACAAAAATAGCGACAACGTTTTTTATTTGAAAGCGCATATTGATATGAGCGACTGCGCTTTTGTTTTACTTGACGAGATAATTATATCCATGGAAAGATCTTGAACAACAACAACACTATCTTTCAATTTAAAATATCGCTCGAACGCATTTTCTTTGTTGTATTCGGATCCTTCTAGTTCCAAACGCTATTTTTGATCGATCTGCTATGGAAAAAAAACGAAGCGTGATTTCTTTTTGCGTGTTTTTATATTCATTGATAGAACATTCGCAAGAACCTTTTTTCACCATAAAATAGGTCGTGAAACCGCTTAAAAACTCTCAAAGGAGTATCATTTCCAGAAAATCTTGTCTGTTAGGAAAGTTTTCAAAAAACATATTTTAAATATATCGGTTATAGAGATGAATTTTACGAATATAAAGGTAAGTGTAGATAAATAAAAGCAAATTCTATCAGATTAAAATACGTTCCAAGTAATCTATAGTCAGAGTATTATGTTAATGATATATTCAATTTCTTTTTAGATGGCTAGGTTTGACAAAAATTAGTTTCTAGCAATTTATCTTCTTCAAAGAAATCGACTCCTTATATTGTTAATTACTCATTTCTTTTTTTTTATAGATTATCGAGAAATGATAGTTTCTGTGTTTGCAATACAAGCCCAAATATATAACATTTCTTTAACGAATTAATTCGCTTAAACGTGCATAACTTCTGTTGCCTCTTTAGATACGTTTCCATCTGCTGTTCCTTCAACAGTCAAGTTAACATTTCTTAAGAACATAAATATACTTTGTAATCGATAAAATAAAAAACTGCTATGAACTTCATTGATGACAATATTAACTTAGCAAGTAACTACAGTATACATTGAAAGCTTCCAAATTCAAGACATGTTCATTGTGAACACTGACTAATATCTTGTTCTCTCTAATAGACGAATAGTTAAATAGCCTGAGAATTTTTTTCTAATATATAATTCTTCGAACATGATTCTGTTTAAGAAATTATTCTTTCCAGAAAACTATCTATGCGATTGGTTTGAATAAACTATGTGCAACGATACTAACTTGACAACGACGATTGTTGAATATTGGTTTATTCCCGCAGATATCTTGCTGATTGTATGTTGCAGTATGGTCAGTTAACTTTCAATTTTATTTCTTTTTATTGCTGTTACGCAACCAACACTTCGAACAGTTTCAATGATGCTCATTACGAATTCATGTGTAGCCGAACTCATTTCCAGTTCTACCGTTCTCGGAATGAAATAAATCGAATCGAATCGTACATGAAAATGTATTATGTGCATTCCGGGACTACATGGATTCGTTTCATCGGGATTACAAAATTATTCGTACATATTACAAGGTACCTATCGATATACTATTGTAGTTTATCCAACTCGCTATAGATGCTTGCACGTGGGTATTCTCCTTTACATACAGCCTAGCATTGTATTTTTATGGTATTATTACCTACAATGTTAGCAATCAAATATGTCAACAGGCTCTTTCTTTGTCAATTGGGAATATATACACTTATTTGTGTATTCATGGAATACCGATATCAGTTATTGCGCTTATTTATATCAAACCAATGTGTTATATTCATCGTTCAAATATTAATTCGACATCAGCCAATCTGAGTCTTCGTGCAAACCGAGAACGTAAACGTGTACGTCGTGTTGTCATACTTGTAAGTATTGTATTATTACTAGGGATTTGGCATGCGTCATATTCTTTTACATTTCAATATTTACGACCACACCGAAATATCACTTTCGCATATTCGCAAAGTACTATTTCGACAAACGCAGATCGCACCATGTGTGAATCAGAATATGAACTGAAAATACACATTCAGTAGTTGATGAGAACGGAGTCTCAATATCAATTTGCTTTATAGAACAACATGCAATCATTCGTACTACTTGTATTTCGATTTATAGCCCGTCGAATACTTTCTGCAAATTTCAAGGAAAATACAGTTTGAACTATAATGAAGTACGAAGTTGTAGAAACAACGAGTATGACGTCACTAATTTTGATTGTGCTTCGGTCAGAAAATTCATTTTTATTTTACACAATTCTCTAAGAAAAATCAATTCTGTTTGCTTCGGCATCATCAATGTCTGCGCTATACGCATCATTGATACGTTCTTTTTATGCTAAAATCCAATCACTTGATATTTAACACTTTTATAAGAATTTTGTTTCATATTTAATCAATGTTTATTTTTTGGAATATTAACCGTTTCTTATTAACTAAAACTCATGTTGATCTTTGCTTTTCAGAAGAGTTCGAAGTGGTATCGAGAAGAAGCGGCCAAAATATCAATAGCAACAATGTTGCACTAAAGGGAAATGAATCGCATGAAACAGTTTGATTTTGATGAGCTAATTCGAAGTACACCTCAAGAATATTATTCAACCTTTTTTGCTATGTTTACAATAAATTCGAAAAGCCAGTAAATATTATGTGCAGAATGATTAATTTTTCTTCATGCTGAAAGAAAGAAAATTCAATTATCAGTTCACTAGTCTTCGTTAGGAACATAATGTCTACAAGTTCGGTCATGCCGATGATTTCCATGTCGTCGTATCGGTTGAAAATCAGCTAAGCAAGCCCAACAAAATTCATGACGGCATTTAATACAAGTCATATGATCACATCCATCATTTTTCTCTATTTGATATGGACAATTAGGACATTTTTTAGAATGCTCGACAATCCATCGTCGACTACATTCATAATCGAAATCCATAAATTGGTCATATTCTTCACAAGTTAATCCTTGATGCCATTCGACTCTATGCCGAAAGCATGTCTTCTGCTGACATTGAAAACAAGTAACTATATTATTCAAAATTCCACCTTCATTTAATTGTCCAATATTACATAATTTATTTGAACACCAAATAAATTCATCCATTTGTTCTAATTGCCGATGCAACACAAATCGATCATATCTTTCAACAAGTTTCTTATCGCGATTGAAATAAAGAATCGCCCTGACTGTATTGTAATCAAATTTGACATCACAGCCCAATTCCGGACAATAGACATCATCAGTGAATGTAATTTGACATGCTTGTTCAACATGATGAAAGAGACAAGAATTACAAATCGTTCGATTTAAATGCTGACAATCGCTTTTGATAGTGCTGAAACAAAACTCATTGAAATGTTTTTCATCATAACATACCACGCATAATTTTTTTGAATTTGAGATAAGTTTAGTGGGAATGCAAACGGGTTCGATTCCATATTGATCTAGTATATTTCGATTCTGCGATATGTCATAATGAATAATACAAAAGATCGATGTACATAAGAACACGTTAAATGCATGTGCTTTGAGGAACATAGGGATATGTTTCATGCAAAATAAATGATCATCATCTGTGTTAATTCCAAATTGAAATATATAGAAAATAATAATAAATAGCGATGTCAACCATTGAATAGAAAATATGAAATGAATGATATTTAAATGCACAGATTTCAATTCGATTTTTAAACGATTCAAAATAAAGATAAATATTTTCTTTGAAAAAGATAAATGAAGATGATCTTGTAGTTGTTCGTTCCATTGAACGCAACTAGGCCAAAAATCTTTGTTAAAGAATAGATTGTTTAATTGATAAATTAATGGACATAATATTATTTTTCGTACAAAACGAAATAGATTTCTAGTTGAGTATCGCATAAGACTAATCGTAACTAAAATAAAAAGCGATAAATCGAATAAAATCAGAATTTGTTGCTTCCATCGAGTAGTAAATCTTCGCCGTGTGAAATTTGAATTGATCAATAAACGAATAAAAGCAATAGTAAATGTAATTACAAAACGGATCAACGTTTTTCTCGTCGTTTTATTTTCTATATTGACCATCGATGAGTTTGTGTCATTGAAATATTTGATTTTATATTGATAAATAAAACATAAATTGATCAAATCAATTAAACACGGAATCAATGTGAAGAAATTTAAGAGTGTGATGTAAATGATCTCTAATCCATGATTTGATATTAATATCGATAATCCAAATAATAAAGTAATATTAATAGATCCAAGAAAAATCATACTCAAGAATTTTGGTAAGGACAATGAAAATTGAATATGTTCCAATAATGATAGTTTCGCTGAGGATTGTATATAAAAATTGAATAAAACTTCAAGTATGATTGCACTTGATAAACTAATTACTAAGCATAGGATTAGTATGAAACGATTCGTTGTCATTGTGTGTGAGGGAAAATTATTTGTTCTGCAAATTTGTTTCATTAAAATAAAGTGGCTAAAACGTGTCTATACGTATTGACTTTTATGCTGCATGAAATCAATTAAGTGAGAAAACAAAAACACTTTTTTACGTGGAAAAAGTCGCAGAGAGATGAATCATTAGTAAAGAACACAGAACATGCGAGAGCGATGTATGATAAATATGAATGGGAAAGGCAAGGTTTATTCTTGACGACCAATTATTGCACAGTAGGTTATTGAAAACCACGGTAAATTCCAACTTCGTCGAATGAAATGTCATGTTATTCCTCATCTCATTACTATTTTTAATTTCATTTCAGCTTTTATTTCAAAGTCGAATGCACAAGAACAAAAAATCAGAAAGAAAAAAAACAAAAAGAAAATGAAAAAGTACATCCTTTTTATATACTTCAAGACACGTGCGGAGTGTGCAGGGGTGACTGTAAGATACAGAAATTTCTTTTATCACTAGAATAGTCTAGGTTTATTTGCTTCGCATAAGTTGCTATCAAAAAAATATGAATCTGGGAATAAAATTATATAACACGATCAACTTTCTTTTATTACTATATAGTTCAACAACTGCGTACAATCTTGTTTGATAGAAGAAAAAAAAAAATTTTACGTCACGGAGTGATTCATCGTTTTATTGTACAGAATACTTGATTAGTCCATCATAGCTAGAACTGTTGCGCTTATCGGAGAATTGAACATAGATAGTGACTTCTTGTCTAGGAACTGTAATCTGTCTCTTAAATACATCGTTTTTAATGATATCTTCAGGAAGCCAATTTCCACCCAGTCGAACGCGAGCACAATGAGCACCAGGAATACGACAATGGATGAGCACTTTGGAACCAATCTTTAAAGTGCCATTCAGAGGTTCAAATATTTGACATTTTCGTTGGGTGAATAGTGAGTATGTTGTGGGAAAGGTCTTGGCTCCTTTGAAACCATCGGGAACATGCAATCCAAAGGTAGCTACACAAGAATAGCTATTTTTATCATTTGTTTTATTTTCTGATGGTCTTCCTGCAAATATTAGAGCCTCATGAACGCCTCCTCGATGTGGTGTAAAAATGCATTGCCAGAGTTGACGAATGGAATCGTATTGAACTATACTTTGTGCTTTATTTTCGTTGAATCCTTTTTGTTGGATTGCAGACATTAAGTCGACATTGGGCGGTGCTCGTAATAGTACTTCAGCAATTCCTAAAGTTTGTTGAAATGGTACTGTACTAGACTGTTGTGGACAGACAAGATCTAAGCCTAATTCAAAAAAAGTTGGTTCAACATCAGGAAGACGAAGAAAATCATTCATAGATATTGGTGATCTCAATAATTGCCATTTTGTATTCTCAGGGAAATGCCTGTATATCATTTGTTCTGGTCTAACTAGAAAGTAAAATGTTTTTAGCTCTTTGACACCATGATTGTTGCTATCTAAATGACCTTCACCCCACGTCGAATCAACAAGATACCAACGACCATAAAGATGAACTGCATTCCAAGCATGATTCGTACTACTGAATTTCGATTGACCCGCTCGGAAACCATATCCTTTGGCATAACCACTAATTTTCTCACATTCAAGTTGCACTCCAGTGCATAAAGTTTTAAAGATCGTTCCAAAAGCATCACAAACTCCTTTTCGATTCGTAAATATATCGTCAGCAGTTTGATGTCGGATATTTCCACTGAAAAAAGCTTGAATATCGTATTCAATATTTTGAGAAACCCAATAGAAAACAATCCAAGCTCGATCGATCAAACTTTTACCGGATGATAATTCGAGTATAAGCTTAACAACATCATGAAATTTATCTGCTTTCCAACTCTTGACAGCAGTCCGATATGACATATCGTCGATCGCTCGTTGACGTTGCTGACAAAAAGTTGCATCAAAAGCATTAGGATCAGATGGTATTAGATTTATGGTATTCGCCTCGATTGATTGTGACGCTTCTTCTACATTCGATTCCATCTCATTTCGAGCTTCAGGACAATTTGATAAATTTACAACATTTTCCGGTTGTTTCAAATCTTCCTTACTCGTATTGTGAGATGTTTCCGTTTCTTTTGTATTTATTTTTGACTGATTTGCTGACGGAGAGCTGTTCGAAGTTTGTATCCGTTGTTGAGTTTCGTTTGGATTTGATTTTAAATAATTTTCAGATTGAAATACATTTTTAAACTTAGCCACATTTGATTCACCTCTGGGCAGCAAATGACTGGCGTCTTCCATTGAATTTTCCGTATCCAAACGATTCGATATAGAGATGTTTCGAGATGCAGACTGTGCCCGTACAAATATAGGTCTCGAGTGTACCTCAGTGTCGGATTCCCAATCATCCGAATCATTCGATTCCCAGTCATCAGAATAATTTGCAACATTTTCTTGCTGACATTTTGAAGGCATTGTTTGATCACGACTTCGATTAGTAGTCACTTTCTAAAACAGTTTTCATATTTCAAAAAACAGGTTTTCATCTGATTAAACATGGTCATTCATAAAATATTTCATCGCAAATATTGCTATTTGATATTTTAGATAAGTGACATCATAGCTGGCATGCACATGCTATACTTATCAATGTGTTCGCCTTGATTTCTTCAACAAGGTACATTGTGAAATGAAATAATCTTTTTAAAAAGTGCTGAACAATAGACTCGTAGAAGAATGCACGCTTTCTATTGATCACAGAAAGCAAATATTGTTTTAATTAGCTATCTTGTTATACACACTGTGTTGCATTGATACGTCATATCCATATTATCTCTTATTTTCATTTTCAGTGGCCCTTTTTTGTTTATGTTGCTAGAGCTACAGGATACGCTACAGATATTGCATGGATAAGAGATGCTAGTTTATGATCTAGTGTGAATATAAAAAATTGAGTCGGACGCCAGATCTGATTATCCATGCTATTTAGGAAAAAATGTGTTATCGTTCTTTCGATTTGCAATAGCACTGTCATACCCTCATAATTTGTGTCGTAACATCACTCATCTCAATCAAGACTTACGATCTGAATAGGTTTCATTCCTGCGAATGGTAACTGATCCACCGATATTCTGGAGCTCGCTGTCTTTAAACGTGAAGAACCATTGATAAGAGAATTACGAACTTGAGGAGACTTTGAACTTTTCTTTAATATCAAGCTATCGTCAACTGCTTTTGAATGCTTCAAATTAATTGGCAACATGGGCTTTTTATCAGCTGTTTTACATTTCGAAGATTTTGGGCGCCTGATCTGTGAAAGACCGATCGATGATGATGCCGAAGAACCGTAGCCTGACTCTGGTTGTTCACACTTCGTCGATGGTGGAGGTATCAGGACAGTTATTTGTTCTGTTTGAACTGTTAAATTTAATCCGTTAACCATTTTCCTTTTTATTGAAGTGGCAATGGATGCTGATCGAATTTCTTTTTATACACAAAGTTAATGAAAAAAACCAACTCAGTCGTCTATGTGAATCATGGCATTCACCTGTAGGAAGTGAGCAATGGTACACAATAGGTAAGCAACACTATTGATAGATTGTTCTTTGTTTAAATTTTTATGCGTTGCTAAGCTGGACAAGATGGCTTCCTCTCCAGTGAATACAAAGTATGGATCAATTCATTTTCATTCACGAAATGGTGTCTTAAATAACAATAAAAGGCATTCTGAAAACGGCAACGCTCAACTATTTCTTTTTATTTTACGGAACTCACATATATTTTTGGAAGAAATTCGGGAGTGTAGTTTTCAATCAAATTTTTACGACTTCCTCTCTTCCAATGAGCCTTTCATGAAAAACCATATAGGAACTGAGTGAGGGGGACGCCAAAGGTTATTATTTATTTTTTCCAAAAAAAAACAGAAAATGACGTTTAATTAGATCATTCTACAACAGGTAGGTCTAAATATTACGAGTTTGGCTCTCATATGGCACCAAGTTTAGTAGCCTATGAAAAGAAACAGTTATGAAAAATTGGCCATCTTGTTTTCTTGATACGATAACACTAGCACGAAAAACGAATCTGTACTTACCTAATTATAGGGTAAAGGTAACTTTCTTTGGCTAGTGTTATCATTGGATCAGATAGTTAATAAATAATATTTGATTCAAATATGCGTGATAGTGTCTTATACATTTTTCAGTGATACACTAATTCAATGAATGGCGTAGAGATGATTCACCACGTTCCAACTTTGCCTATTACCTATGATAGCATTGCTTCAATACATAACAACATGAAAGAGTATAGTAAAGCAATCGAATTGTATCAAAAAATAATAGAAATCTTGAAAACTTTTCCACATATGATTTTTACTGGATTTTGCATTGATATACCATGGAGTTGGTCAAATGCAAGAAAATATGTACTGTTCTCATAAATATGCAATGAATGTTGAAAAAAAATTTAGCTAAATTCATTATTATTATTGTATACATTATGCAGAGGCCAACTAATATTGACCGTTTCATCCCAGTCATTTAATTATGTTCAATTTAGTAAATGTAGTGGAGAGAACGATTTCATGAATTTTCATACTAGTCATTCCAGCGATACAAAATTCATCTAAACACACCCACACTGTCAAGAACCGATTGAGTGTCAAGAAGAAAGATAAAAATATTACTTGTTAACAAGTTATCTTTATTTGCCTAGTTGCAACACACACTATACTACACATCTATCTCATATTCTCTTGCGGTGTCTTTATTTTTACTCATCGCCTCAAGTATAACATAATTCTGAAGGATATATATATTCGATTCTCTCACTGCATAAAACTTTTCTTACCCTTGACTATTTTGAAAAAGGCTTGCAAAACTAACCAATATGATACCATGTAGTGATCCATTCGATGTGATAATCGTAGGGTGTGGTGCAGCTGGTATTGGTGCAGCTATAAAATTTCAAAAATTTAAACCTCCAGCACGCATTCTTCTTCTCGAAGCTCGAAATCGAATTGGTGGACGAGCTGTTACTGATATTGATACATTCGGTGTCGACGCGCCAGTTGACTTGGGTGCTCGTTGGTTATGTCATCATCAACCAGACAATGTCCTGCGTTCCTATTACACTCCATCGAACAAAGATTGGATTGAATGTAATACCTATGATAAATTGAATATGGCTATTTTCGACGAAGATGGAACACTTATTTCCGATGATCTCATCGAACAAGCACAAACAACTGTAGAACATATTTTGACGAGTGTTAAACAATATCCATCGGAGAAAATCGACATTTCAATCTCTCAGGCGATCGATGAACAATTAAACACTATTTCAAATGAACGCATGCATCGTCTTGTGCGCATGTTTCTTAGCTTCATAGAAATACACGAAGGTTCAGATCTAACTGAACTATCTACGAAATCTTATACACAAGGTGAAGGTAGTCTTGAAGAATGTGATCTTGCCGTAGCAAATGGATTGGGTTCCTTTATCAAGCAGGTCGCAGAACAACATAATCTACCGATTGAACTTAATGCAGTGGTCAGCCACATCGATGTTTCCACTCGACCAGATCAACTTGTACATATCACAACTCAAGATAATCGCAGTTATTTCTGCAAATATGTACTTTTAACTGTATCCCTAGGTTGTTTAAAAGCACGTTCAATCAAATTTACACCACCTCTACCTATTTGGAAACTAGAGGCCATTGATCAAATGGGTTTTAGTTTGCTCAACAAAGTGTACTTACAATTTCCATCGATCTTTTGGGACCCGAAGTTGAGAAGAATAAGTGTTGCTACCGATCTTTTTAAGAATTACTTTTGCATTCCGGAAACTCGTATTTTGGCTTTATATATTGCTGGTAGCGTGGCTCGTGAATTAGAGAAGAAAAGTGACAAAGAAATTATCGAGCAAGTAGTCGAATCTCTTCGTAGAATCTATCCATTGATGAGTAATCCTATCAAATGGTTAGTGACACGATGGGGTTCTGATGTATTTTCATATGGATCATACTCAACCTTTCATGTTGGTAACGAAGTTAGCATATTGAGAGAATTAGCACGAGATTCTCATGAGAACTGTGTGCACTGGGCTGGTGAACATACAAATTATGAAGGTTCAACAGGTTATGTGGATAGTGCTTTCGAGAGTGGGCAACGCGAAGCCACACGTATTCAAAACAACTTGAAACAAGAAGAAAACAAGAATAAATCGGAAATTTAAAAAGAAAACGAACTAATTCTTCTGGTTTAATACGTAGTAATAAACTTTGATTATTTAATGTATGTAAGCTCATCAGCAATATCTACTTCTTCATATTTTCGAATATCTTGTACATAAAATTGAATATCAGCTTTTAATGGAAATCGTGAGTGTCCAAGTTGTTTTGACTGTATAGAATAGATGTATTGTCAGAGCAGAAAACGTCATATTAAATACCCATTTGATTTCATTAGAAATATGGATATACATAGAAAGAAAGGAAAAAAAATGAAATGGTTAGCGCTGGAAAATAAACGATTCCTTAATATCAATCAAGACAATGCACTGAAATACAGCTGATATAGCATGAATATCAAACTGCCGGTCTTTTTGTCGGTGGTATTAACAACTGCGATCCGTGCATCGGCATATAATTGATGATGAGTTTGTGGGCGAAAGCAACACTCACACCCTCGAATTCCCATAGTATCTCCTCCGATAAATCATTTCATTCTACCATGATAAAGAAAAGGATATTATTCAAAACGCATCCAAGAATCAACTGTCAACATGGTTCCATCATTCTCTGATTGTTTAAAGTTTATACATCATATTATTATATCTCAAATACTACAGAATTGAAATTCTTTTGACCTTTTGGAGTGTTGTCAGTACATAGACTTGTTAAGAAATAGAAAAGATCAAGTTTATAAGAGATAATAAGAGGAGCACAACAATAAAATTATAAAAAAATGAGAATTGCCATAGTCCGAAAGTGAATTGAAGATCTTACATAGTTACATTAATAAAACATCAGAATCTTTAGAAGAAAAAATGTTTTTTGCCAAAAGTTTCTTCTTATCGAGTCTAAACACGAACGATAAAGTAAACGATGTAAGAAATTGATTAGTTATAACTGATAGCGAGAGAAAGTTATGTATGGTCTTACGTCACTTCTTTGTAATTAAATATTCTGTGTTATTCTTTTGTATCAACAAGAAAGAAAAGAAAAGTCTAATTCAACACATTTTATGTTTCTTTGATATTACCTGCTTTAATGTTATAACTATGCCTTTGACTTCCAAAACAGTTCGTCACGATTATCCCAACCCACAAAATTTTTTTTTTTATGATTCCGGCCTAATCGTAGTCCTGATTCGGAGTTCGACATAAGAATGCAACGAGGGCCATATTCTCGCCAAATACTCACTATCATTTTGAAACTAACTAACTGCTTTTGACTGTAATCTTGAGGGTGGTTGTTTCTCCAATCAACAGCCCACACATCCTCAACATTAAAAATAAGTTGTGTATATATTTTTTTTATGACCACTAATTCAAGATGATGCTGCACTCCTTCTGTAAGAGCGGTCACAGTTGATTAACATTGTTTTATTTATTTATACTGATTGGACAAAAAAACATTGTTCCGTTCATAAAAAGTCACTTACTCACGTGTGTTAAACTTATATAGATATATAGACAGCAGTATTATTCAATCATATAAAAGTTTAATCTTTATTTTTCTTTACGATGCTACAAACTTGATCACATGTCGAATGAAGTGATCCTTTGTGTTTGGAATCATTTAACATCTGCAGACGTCATTTACAGTTTCTCGAATCTTAATACTAGCTTCAATTTGTTACTGATAGAATTTCATGGACTTTACAAAAAATTGGATTTACGCCATTGTTCATTATCAGAGTGTCGATTCTTTTGTCGCCAAGTAACGACCATGATAGAATGGCGTCTTGACTTAACTGTTCTTAAAATAGGTAATCGTTATCGATGCTCTCAAACGGATATGTTTGCAGACGAAATACGACAATCAATTGTTGCAATTCATTTTGCTAGGTCAGGAATAGCATGTAGTAATCCATCGAAAGATATCTTCCATATCTTAATGATATATATCAAGTCTATAGAACCGATATTTCCTCAACTCGCTTCTCTCGTTGTTTTCCAATCATTATTAACTAGTGAAGAAGGTTTTGAACTTAAATATGAACATACAATTATGAATGCCTACGTTCCCCATTGTTCTCTCATCTCCATCACAATTAACGTTCCCAACTTAACTACACTTCATGTACTTCTTCATTATCTTCCACAACTTGAATATGTAGGTAAGAAACAAAATTTTATACATCTTCATCTACTTTGAGATCAGTATAAAGAGCTAAATGTGCATTTTTATTTTTATTTCAAGATGTATATATTACCGACGTTATTTATTCAATGAAAACTAATGATGAAGATCTACCAACAAAATTAGATTATCCGAAAAAATTGCGTGTGCTTCATTTAAGATTGCGGGACCAAATTGCAAGTGTCTTAAGCAATTAGTCGATAAATTCGCTAAGACGTTAGCAGAGTTTTCTTTGCTTTTAACTCATTATTGTAATGGCGAACTTCATATATGTTGCGATGGTTATTGTCTTGCTACTATTTGCAGTGAATTATCTCATTTTCCATCACTTCATTTTGGTATCCAACTGCAGTTCATAGAGCCACCAAACAACCAAATATTGTCTGATTTCATTCAAGCTTTTAGTACACCTTTTTGGCTCAATGAACCTTCCGGGTGTACACGAGTGTGTAAATTATCATCAAGTATTTCGTCTTGTACAGATGTTCTCTCTTCCATATGTATTTTCTAACAATACTGTGTTTCGTACAATCGATCTGATCGATCTACTATTCAATACTAGTGAAGCAGAGAAAGATGTATCGACTAATTTACCTATAGCACTTAGATCTCTCTGATCTGGTATGGAAACATTGTGTATCTCTTTATGTGAAAAGTAAAAAATACCAACTTCATTTATCCACGCACTTCAATGTCCCTCAAGTCATAGGAAGTTATTAATATTTTCAACGTATGTTTGCATTTGTTTTGGTTTTATAAGTTACCTTTAAAATAAATTATACATACGCATCAAATCAATGTAGACTTTTAGAGATATTGCAAAGATTTATTTCACAATATCCCACAGTCGATGTTTAGAGTCCGTCAAGTTCAGAAGCTCTTAGGACAATAAATTTTTTGCCTTTAAGACAAAAAAGAATCCACAATTTTCATGAGTCAGAAAAATAGCGTAGAACCTTGTTCCTTATAATTCTTTCAACGAGTTCATAAAAGTTGGATAATCACAGTTTCATAAGATTTTTATAATGAATGCACAAAGATCGCATTGCTTGTTGACTAACAAAATTTATAAAATTATTGGAAAATTTTTTCTCGCCCCATTTCACTCACTATAAAGGGTGTCAAATATGAACCATACACTGTTCGACAGAGAAGAAAAAGTTTTATTTAATTTTCTTTCAACATCCTTTTTTCGAAGAGAAACATGGATAGGCATAAAGTGTCTTTATACTTTTCAGCAATGTCACATCCCTCAGTGAAAATGCTAAGTTTTCTGCCCGAGACATTGGTTTATGAACCATCGAGACAATCTATATCTCAATACTTTCTTTCGACAGATCGACCGTCTCTATATAGATTGTTCGCCCATTAGCAATATAAATCAAAAAGAAGAAATTATGGTTCCACTTCTTTCTTGCGTTATTGATAAACAAGATTTTCGCCAATTGCAATGTTTCCGTTTTATTGTGTGTAAAAATATCTCATCAGCATGGCGTAACATTCACAAATGGATCGATTTTGTTTTTACACATACTAATCAGCATCAACTTGAATTTTTACGTTTTGATTTTGTTGAAAAAGAACAAGAAGTGATTGATATGAAGACAGATGATGAAATAATCTCAAGCACTGAACCTTCATGTATTGCTATATTCATCGATTTGTATCAGAGAACCATGTCACATTTTGGATACACTATAAATAGAAATAACTTATATGTAAACAATTTGTCATATTGAAGTTACATCGGGTGATACAGTTAGTTTTGTAATCTAAATACTAAATATTTATGAGTCTAATGAGGATGGTAATAATGCACGACCAAAGCTAACTTATTTGTTGGCGACGGTTATTTTTACAACAAAATAACGAATGCATTTGTTTTGATTTATATTCTATCCAGATCAAGATAAATTTCGAAGTAGATTAGATTTCTGGAATCAGTGTACTCTAATTTTAATTCAAAGTTCAAATGATATTTAACATATAAAATATAGTTTTCAGGAGAAAAAAATCTTTGTTTCCTCATATCACAGATCAAATGAAGGGATTCTCAAACTCGACTTGGATTAATTTACCTCTCTATCATATTAATAACCCAAGTGGAGCAATCCCAGACTTGGATTCTATCGGGAATTCAAATCAGTGCCTGTTTTTGTCGAAAACACCATGAAGTGATAGAACGTTTGAAGCGCTTTCAATGATATATAACTTGTTGCAAAGATTTACACTGAAATAGCATAAACTACTAAACAATCTTGCTATTCATTTTTCTCAACATCAATTTTTTCACTATCACAGAACATTTCCCGGATCCGTCTTTCAATATATAGCACTCATTTTTTATGCGAAAGATCATAATTTTCTCTACAAATTCTTCGGATATATTTCTTGAGGTGTGGATATGTATGGGACTTCGAATACCTTACCTGCCCACATCCTCACCCACACACCATCGCCCTTTGGAAGAATCATAACGGTAAATTGCGATAAGACGCATCTTCTATGTGATACAATTAATAAAATTAAAAAGCGGAAGTCTCAAAAAGGTTTTATTTTTAAAATGTCTGGATGGCAATATGTAGCTCGATGTCAAGGATTTCGATCATGATAATCTGGATTGAATCGGCAAGGTTGTCGGTCAGCTCTAGCAACGGGTTGATTAACAGCTGAATGAGAAAATTCCTTACAGTGTTCAGGTCTATTCAAATGTCGGCAATTTAGACCATAGTAACATTCTTTTTTTTGTTCATCAACTTTATTCGAGCTCGGCATATTTCGAACATTTTGTATTGGTGGATCGATTGAACTTGCTAAATGAAAAATGATACGAGAATAGATATTAATTTTGAAAAGTTTCTTCTGTACCTTGCGATTGTTCAGTTCCTCCTGGTTCGTTAATTTTTTCACCATGTGAATATCTAGTGAGATGCACTTTCGATTTATTGTGACATCTTTCACTATGACATGGCATGAGGAAAAACGGCCAATCTACATGATGAAATTGTGATCGATGAATAGGATCAGTTAAATTCGCACAATTCTTATCGGATGGACAATCAGGTACTTAATGAGGTTCATGTGTTAAATGTTGTTCTGGGTTTTGACAACGATCAGCAAATCGACATGGATGCCAATATTTTGCATTATGATCAGGTCCATTTTCAGAAGATTGAATAAGACAATGAATACTCGGGATGTGACAATGCCAATACCATTTGGTATTGGTGGTACTGGTATTGGTATTGGTCGGTGTTGATGGGTATTGATATTGGTATTGGTATTGTTCACAAAGCTGTTCCGTTAATTTTCGTAGAGACAGCATCTGTTTGAAAGATTCTCGCTTGTCTATTTTGAAAAGATGTACTCAATTTTTTCACAATTAGATCGTCGGAAGATTAACTATATTCTCCGTCCGGTCATAAATATTGATTTTTCATTAGCAATTTTGTTGTGGTATTAGAAGCAAGCGGCCAACTTCTCCAGAAGCGAGAATCACAGGTTTCTTCTTTTATTAGCTTTGTTAAACAACGAATAAAACTACGCTTCGCAATTCTTTGCTCGAATTTGAAAACACATTTTTCTGGATGTGTCATAGTCAAAGTGAATTGAATTGTTGTCGATAGAGATGTAACAATACCATTCGGAGGCACAAAGATTTCCAATTTTCACAATGAAAATCAACCAACCTTTATGTGTTTCCAAATGATATTATCAAATCCCATGACTCAAGCGATTTGAAAATACCAATACCCACCAATACTAACCAATACCAATACCAATATCCCAATATTGTACTAGTATTGTCACCTCCATATTCCCGGTCATGGACCTACTAACGGATTCGACGGAAAAAAAGACATTTTCTTAATCACCAGTGAATAAGTATATGTTGCCAACAGAACACATGGATCGAATGCTTATGTTCGATTCCGTTAAAATCCAACACTGGAACCCATCGGATTTCGTCGGTTTAATGAAATCCATACTATATCCGATAAGATTCCCACACGAATTCGACAGAATCCCACTATCGGAATCATTCTCTCGGGAGTGCATTAAATCAGAATTAAATTTTCTATCAATCAAGTGTCTCCATCCAGTATTAACTTTCATAGCGATGATAAAGTTGTAACGGTTTTGAGTTACTTGTAGTTTATTTTTTCATATATGATGAAAGGATTACAACGAAAAAGGGAGCAAAACGATAGGAGAAAAAGATCGATTCAAGAATGACTGATGAACAACATTTGAACAAGGGTTTTCATATGTGTACGCGAAAGAGAGAGAAAGAGAACAACGAACGATAGAAAGAGAATATGATAACGGGAGGAATTGCTCCCAGTGATGAGTGTATAACAGATCAATCCACCACCAACGTTCTTCGGTGTGCACTTACTCTCCGGTGAGTCACGTTTCTTAATACAGTATTCCCTCGCGCAAGATACTGCCAAACAACTGATATGCCATATACAGAATAAAATTAATACAGAAGAGACCGACGAGTCATTTTAACCAAGGAACAAAAGGAGAAAAAGCTGGAACCTGTATTACATTCGGCAACACCTTAGACAAACAATATCGTCCATTTATCTACATACCATTTAAGCTATCTTTTACTCGTATTATAAATAGATCCTTTCAATCAGATCAATAAAGGAAAACATATTATCCAATACGTCAGCGCATTTATAAACATCACCCCTATTAATGTAATTATTTAAATTAACATGCGCCACCGTACACTAGCAACATCCACAAAGTCAAACGATTTTTCGCACGCAGCCACACCTCCAACATTTTCCCTACCCGTCCTTCACCTATCAAAGCCGCCACCCACAAGCCATTCAACCGACCGCGCCTTAAACATTCTAACCCAAACCCAACAAGGCTAGCGCCCTACCACTAGCGCACCCCACGCATACCACGGTTGCCACCGGGAAGACCCTCACTACACACCAAACGTCCCTTTCACCAAACAGCCAAACGTTTCCTCGGCTCTTCTGCAATCAAACATTATTCTTGGGAAAAAAGGAAGCAAACACATTAGTGTCGATCACACAAACACACATGATCCTTCAGTTCACCTCAGCCCCTCACTTTGACGCAAACTTTGCGACTCCATCACCTCATCCAACATCACATGGCAAACGAACATTCATCATAAGACTTCCGCTCACCTCTTTTGCTCACTTCGAACCAAACGTTCCGACTCGGTCAGCTCCTCGAACATTACAAGGGAAACGAGCATTCCTTACCAGACTGCTGCTCACTTCTTTTGCTAACTTCCGACCAAACCTCGCGACTCCATCACCTCCTCCAACATAACACGGCAAAGGAAAATTCATCACAAGATCTCTGTTCCCCTCTTTTGCTCACTTCGAACCAAACGTTGCGACTCGGTCAGCTCCACGAACATTAAAAGGGACAGGAGCATTCCTTACCAGACTACTACTCACCTCTTTTGCTCATTCGAAACGAACATAGAGACTGCACCACCTTATCCAACATCACATGGGACACGAACATTCTTTACCAGACTTCTGTTCACCCCTTTTGCTCACTTCCAAGCAAACCTTGCGACACCATCCACTCATCCAACATCACATGGCAAACGAACATTCATCATAAGACTTCTGTCCCCCTCTATTGCTCACTTCGAACCAAGCGCTACGACTCGGCCAGCTCCTCTAACATCACATGGGAAAGCAACATTCCTTACCAGACTTCGGTTCACCTCTTCTGCTCACTTCGAAGCAAACGTTGCGACTCCATCACCTCATCCAACATGACATGCCAAAGAAACATTCCTGAAAAGACTTCTGTTTACCTCTTTTGCTCATTTCAAAAGAAACCTTGCGACTCCATCACCCGATCCAAAATTACATGCCAAAAGAACG